GGCTAGGCAAGAAGAGCGGGGTGGGGGCTGGGTGCCATTGGCAGAGCCGGCATGCTGCTCAAGGCTGGGGGCCTGTCTGGCAGTCGGGGAGAACCGAGGCTCAGCAGCCCGCCCCATCACCTGGCGCGCTGCAATGGCTTTGCTGTGCGGGTGCGTCAACCGCTCCGCCCGCCCCCCCTCGCCGCCGCCCCCAGGTCGTGGACGTGGCGCACACCTTTGTTGAGGTCTGGGAGGGCGTCATAGGCATCGTTGCTGAGCTGGACGTCCTGGCAGGTGGGCCCCTGTCCCTCCAAGGGCACGGGTGCCTTGCGGGAGAATGGGGCCGGGTGTAAGCAGGCGCCCACCATAGCCTGCAGGAGGCTTCTGTCGTGGCCAGCCCGCACGAGCTGGTACAGGCGGTCCCCCCTTCCAAGTGTTTGTGTGCGCGCAGTTCCCGCTCCGGTCCCGCGCCTCTGCGGCGCCTTCGCGCGCCAGCCGCGCCGCCCAAAACAAAACTCCCCCGTCCCAGATACAACCTGTCCGGCCACCCGCAAATCTGACGCACCCCCTCCGACATGCGCCAAGGCTTTGCTGAGCTGGCGTGCAGCGACCCCACGCGGCCCTACGTGCGGCCTGAGATCCTGGGGGAGGGCCAGGGCGAGGAGGTGGCGCTGGTGGGCTGCAGGCACCCCTGCGTGGAGGCGCAGGAGGGCATCGCGTTCGTGGCCAACGACTGCAAGTGAGCGGGACGCGTGGTGGATGAGATGCCCTGGCCAAGCCCCGTATGACGCGGCCGGCGCCGTTGCTGCAGTCGTCAGCTCAGAGCGGAGCGCCAGCTCCGGCTCCGCCCGTGACCCCCGCGCATGACGTGCGCTTCAAGCGGCTGGTCAGATGACAGCGGGCGCCTCAGCGGGCACGGGATCCGCAGATCCCGAGAGCCCTGCCCGATCCCTTTCCGCTTGCTCTGTTATAGTTGGTCTTCCCCCCCTTCAGCACACAATCTCTCTTGTATTGCCCCAGGCTGGTCAAGGGTAGCAGCTGGTTCACCATCGTGACGGGGCCCAACATGGGCGGCAAGAGCACGTACATCCGACAGGTGTGTGTGAGTGTGTGTGTGTGTGTGTGTGCGTGTGTGTGTGTGTGTGTGCGTGTGTGTGTGTGTTTGTGTGTGTGTGTGTGCGTTTGCTTTCTCACGCGCGCACGCGCACGCCAGCGCATGCCGTGCAGAGGGCGGACGTTTATTGAGGAGCGGGAACAGACGGCGTCCTGGGCTGGAGCCACTCACGGCTGTTGCGTGTCTTCCAGCAGTCCGAGCTGCCGCCCGTCCGCAGCAGCCAAACCACCCCCAACAATTGTGCTGTCATCCCCCAAAAGCTCCGTTGCCCACAATTCTGGCCGGCCGGCCCCTCCACACAACCCCCACCCCACCCCACCCCCTCCACAGGTCGGCGTGGCCGTGCTCATGGCCCAGGCCGGCTGCTTCGTGCCCTGCGCCTCGGCCCGCATCTCCCCCCGCGACGCGATCTTCGCGCGCGTCGGCGCGGGCGACTGCCAGCTGCGGGGCGTGTCGACGTTCATGGCGGAGATGCTGGAGAGCGCAGCCATCCTCAAGGGCGCGACCTCGAAGAGCCTCGTCATCATTGACGAGCTCGGCAGGTGCCAAGGGCCGGGGGTGGCTGAATCTTATTGGGGTGTTGGCCGTTGGGGCGTGACGTGGTGTGCGCGGACCTCAGGTGGGCGTGCTTTGAGACAAGAGTGATCGTTTGCACGGGCGCCTCTTGTACAAAGCCAGGGCGCAGGATGAGCGCGCTACTGCTCGTGCATGCTCGCGTGCATTCTGTGCATTGGTGAATAAGCAGTGGTTGGGGCTCCCTGGCTACGGCACAGCACCCTGGCACAGCCATGTCCTGGCAGCATGTGCTAGCCTTTCCTGCCCCTCCATGCTGCTGTCGGTGAACCCGCTGCCCTCTTCCAGGGGAACGAGCACCTATGACGGCTTTGGCCTGGCCTGGGCGATTGGGGAGTACATCATGCACAGGTGCGCACACGAGGGCTTGCGGCAAGGCGGGGGAGCCGCCTGGGTGATGCACCCGTTTCTTGAATGTGTGTTGTGCTAGGCACATTCTGCAGAGTGTGGGCCCAGCTCTGCTTGGCTCCTGAGGGCGCGCCTCTCCCCTTACCAACTGCGAGCTCGTGCTGCTACCCTGAGAAACCCTCAGGCCCCCCCCCACCCCCTGCC